ATTGACATCATTGACATATGTTACATATATGTTACATTTTGCGACAACCTTAATTAGTGCGTTGGGCTTGTATGAAAACTCACTTCGAACTAACTCAATTACATGCTATTTATTTTAACATTACACGGTAAGCGTCACCCAACTGTTGTGATGTGAGGCGAGGACAGGTTCGACAATAAACCAACACGAAAGTACGAAAGAGACAAAGATTGCCTATTAGAGAATGGACCCCTTAACTTTCCTAACCCCACCATTTATTATACCCTACCTAACCTCTAAATTTACTGCGCTAAATGTCACTTCCCTCCCAATCGTTCCTATTCTACAGAATTGTGTATACTATTTATTTACATTCTTTAATCTCAATATAACTAAAATAGACTTTTGTTTGTAGGGTAATGAAAACATGTAAACAAAAGGGACGCTACTCTAAATCTATGCGAATACTTATATGCAGTGTGGGTGGGTGGATGGATGTGTGGGTGGTGGATGGATGTGTGGGTGGGTGGATGGATGTGTGGGTGGGTGGATGGATGTGTGGGTGGGTGGATGGATGGGGGTGTGGGTGGGTGGGTGGATGTGTGGATGGGTGGGTGGATGTGTGGATGGGTGGGTGGATGTGTGGGTGGGTGGATGGATGGGTGTGTGGGTGGGTGGGTGGATGTGTGGATGGGTGGGTGGATGTGTGGGTGGGTGGGTGGGTGGATGTGTCGGTGGGTGGATGGATGTGTGGGTGGGTGGATGGATGGGTGGGTGGATGGATGTGTGGGTGAGTGGTACGCTTTAAATGGTAGTAGATCACGTGATCAAACACGACACTCTCACAGCAGCCCTAACAGTCATGTATAAATGTGTCATCTAGTCCATATGGTCTTTGTGCTAAATTTCTCTTTTGCACATTTTTCGTTGTGTTTTTTCTGGTTGCGCATTTTTCTGTTTCTGTTTGCGCTTTTTTCCGTTTGCGCTTTTTTCTGTGTGCGCTTTTTTCTGTTTGCGCTTTTTTCCGTTTGCGCTTTTTTCTGTTTGCGCTTTTTTCTGTGTGCGCTTTTTTCTGTTTGCGCTTTTTTCCGTTTGCGCTTTTTTCTGTTTGCGCTTTTTTCCGTTTGCGCTTTTTTCCGTTTGCGCTTTTTTCCGTGTGCGCTTTTTTCTGTTTGCGCTTTTTTCCGTTTGCGCTTTTTTCTCTTTGCGCTTTTTTCCGTTTGCGCTTTTTTCTGTTTGCGCTTTTTTCTGTGTGCGCTTTTTTCTCTTTGCGCTTTTTTCTGTTTGCGCTTTTTTCTCTTTGCGCTTTTTTCCGTGTGCGCTTTTTTCTCTTTGCGCTTTTTTCCGTTTGCGCTTTTTTCTGTTTGCGCTTTTTTCTGTGTGCGCTTTTTTCTCTTTGCGCTTTTTTCCGTTTGCGCTTTTTTCTCTTTGCGCTTTTTTCTGTGTGCGCTTTTTTCTCTTTGCGCTTTTTTCCGTGTGCGCTTATTTCCGTTGCGCTTTTTGATTTGCGCTTTTTTCCGTTGCGCTTTTTTCCGTTGCGGTTCTTTCCGGCCACCACAGAAAAGAAACTGATGTTTTCACTGAACTGCAAAATGGCATTATTTTATCTTCTTCTGCGAAGTTAATGGCTGTCCTTTTTTTTAATACCTCACTCGACAGACTGTAGACTAATTATCAAATTATGTTGCTAATAGTTGTTCATTAATCTAATTTTTTAGCAAATAATTAAATTATCCTAGGAATAAAGCAAAATGTAATGTTAGGAACAAGTAAAAATAATCAAAACGTGTGCATCTATAATATGATAAACGACATTAGATTAATTTTTATATTTGACGTGAATGATTACTTTAAAAGAGAAACATACAAATTATACTCGCTAAATGTGAAAGATGTCGTTGTTATATTTACACAATTATTCTACTAGTTTCATTGTAGATCTAGATGATCTTTTGTCTGTTATAAGATGCTCGTAGCTGTCGCCTACCCACGGGAATACCTGGCGATCACAATGTATCAGCGCCTTGCCGGAAACTCACGTTACATCGCAGGAAAGTTTGTTCACAATGAAGCGGAAGAGGTGATATTATTTTTTACTCCGTTTAACATTTAGAGTTGTCTGTTTTAATAAACACGATAACTGCCACAATTTGTATCAGAATTTTTGTTATTAAATGTTCAGTATGCATTTTTATGCTCCCAGTCCAGGTTTAACAAACTTTTTTAGCGTAAAATAACATAAATCTAATTAATTAATTACAACATTATTTGTTATTTGTGTAAAGAAATTTTGATCGTAACTCAATCGTATTGCATTTTACTTTTCTACTCTTCTTATTATAATAATTTATTTTATTTTGTCCCTAAAAATTATACGAAACTAAAATTAAAAGATAACTGTATGCTGATTTAAAAAAATAGATATGTAAACGGTACTTATGTGTAAGCTTATTTTTGTAAATGTATAAAACAGCTTATTCTCATAGCCTTAAGTTAGTTAAGAAGAGATTCTGTAGACGGATTGCTATTAAAAATATTTGTTAGATTAGTTTATTTGGATGAAATCACAGGTTACAGTTTATTTTCAGTAAACTAAGTCCATAATATCCATGCTTACTTCTTTTTAAAAATTAAAATATTCCCTTAATTTTTTTTTGGTTAATCATTTTGAAGAGTTTTCACAAAAATGTATAGTTACATTATACAATTAAAACACCAGGTCTAAATAAGATAAGATTTAATACAGTTACATGATCTATTAATAGACAGTTAAAAATCGACTTTCATGCAAAGGATTAGGTGTCCCAAAGTTTCTAATTTTTCAAAGAAAATGCCAAATTATTTTCTCCATGAAAGGCACTGTGACACAATTTAGTATTCGCTGACATATACAATGTCTACACCCGTATGACGTAACAGGTGACTGTATGCTGGGGCCAGCCAGACGTACCAGGTAGACCGTGTCTCTGTAACCTCACATCCACCAACAGACATCCTTTTTACTGTGGCCGTCCTCTGGACAAAAGGTCGGTATTAAGTCTTATACGGACTCAAGGTCTTTAAGTACTATTTCATTGTTTGTTGATTGTTGAGCAAATACCACATATAGTACAAACGGAAAGTTACATGCAGTGAAATCACATGCAACTCAAAATATCTATACATACATATTATTATAAATATAATTAGGCATAGACGTGGACTATTTGTCTTCATCTCTAGGATATTTATTTGTTCAAGAAATCTTTTGTCCAAGATCTTTTGTCCGTGAAATAATATGTTCTTTTTCTGATATATTTTGTTCAGATATTTTGTCCTGAGATCATTTGAACTTAAAATACGTTGTCTGGGATATTTATTTCTGAGATAATTAATTTGCTCTAAGATCTTTAGTCACTGAAACTTTGAATCATATATAAGCACGACAAAGACAAAGATATATCATTATAAATCTGTTTATGAAAGTAATATCAAACAAGAAAATCGAACGTCTATTTACGGTGTTTATTTAGGCTGACGTGCGAGAACTATGTAGCCTCACTATCTCTTCCATTGACCAGACCTACTGTCGCAACTCGGGCAGAAATAGATGTAGTCAAGTCTGTAACTGTCAGGTAAGCGATTTTATGTCTCTGGTCGATCGATAAACATAATGTAGTTACCTTCGTAAGATGTTCTGCTTAGTAAAAGTATTGTTTGAAAGATATAAACTTAACAGAAATTTCAAATCATTGTAAAAGAAAAAACCCAACATAAATGTATACAGACAGCCTTCTTTTTTTTCTCTTTCAATATAATAACAAGTAGTCAGTAAAGTAAATTTATCGCTCTTATTTGGCTCTTTAAATTGGATTTTAAACAATTTCCAATTCTTGTTTTACAGAGATATAAAGGTTAACGCTGTTCAAGCTGATATCGAATTTCGCGTCAGCAACGCAGGTAAAATCAACCATTTTCCCAACAGTATTAAAAAAAAATCATACTTATGGAATGGACCATTTTAGAAACATACTCAAGGAAGTTATTTTAAACTACATCTAAAATTGTTCTTTGAACATAAAAAATATTGGAATAAACCGGCAGTGATCTCCCCTAAACTTTCTCGAATATTCTTATATAAAATAACAGGGGATGGGAACTCCGGGCTATAGACATGATTTTTAATCCATTTTAAATACTTAAAGTTTTAAAAATAGAATAAAATCTCGTAGACAAATTAATTGCACACCAAGTGAACGCCCAATAAAAAAGCGCATAATAGTGCGCAATATTATTAGTACTTTTAAAATTTACATTTGTTTTTTGAGAAATCGGAAATAGCGTAAATTACTACTTCCGGTCAACGGAAATTACTCAAAATTTAACAGAAGGTAGAGATTTAGATCTTTTACTTACATGTGAAATTTCGTTTATCTATCTGAAATAGTACTCAAGTTATAGGCTTTTGAAAAATTCAAAGTAGGAAAAGTACCACTTCCGGTTCTCGGAAATCGCTCAATAGTTGATAAGGATCTACGATTTTGATAAAATACTTATATATGAAATTTCATCAACCTAGCAGTAACGGTACTCAAGTTATCGTGTTTACACACGGACAGACAGACAGACACACAGACAGACACACAGACAGACACACAGACATACGGACAAGATTGCAAAATTATGTTTTTCCGTATCAGTGAGGTGTAAAACGTCGAGATTTGTAAAAATCTCGATTTTTTTTGCACGATTACAAGACTTTCTCTATACTTCGTATATACGAGAAAGTAAAAAGTATGCGATAAATTCATCCTTCATGCAATGTGTAGTCTAATCGGATAAAATCAAATAAAAAAACAATTTTATGTTTAATTGTAATATTATATATATATATATATATATATATATATATATATATATATATATATATATATATATATATATATATATATATAAAGAGAGTGAGAGAGAACAGATACACTTGTTTTTTTATTTACATTTAGCCTCTCTACCAGCACTTCCACCCTGTTATAAGACGAGCCCATCAGCTACCTGGGAAATGACCAAACCAAAAGGCTACTGGTCACCTGGAGGAGTCTGGACATCTCTGGTCTGTGACCATTCCTACCTAACCCCAGGTCTGGCACTAGACTGTCTACGTGATACTAGTATTTGGGTGTTCGGGGATTCCAATGGCGTTCGTCTCTATTGGCAGCTTGAAAGTGTGACTCGGTGCAGCACCACGCAACCAGGAGCATGGCCGCACAAAGCGGTGTGCAAAAACAAAGGAAACAATATCACTTTGTCATTCACCCCACACGAATACCCGATTTATCTTGGTGCCTCTTGGACAACTAAGCTCCCCTACGATGGTGTAGTCCAGCATATAGACGCCTTGCCTTCAAATGGTAAAATAATTGTCATATTCCATTACTATCTTCACGCAATGACGTCACATTTGAGTTTTGCCGAGCTACGTCTTAGATCTGTAACTGCAGCCTGCAAGCGACTTTTGGACAGAAACCCTGATGTAACAATAGCTTTCCGTGGTCCACACGTTTCATCATTTGAATGGGACATCAATCACACCATAAGTGGAGACAGTCTGGGAACATTTTATGTAAAGATTATTTTAAATGTGTTTAAAGATTTAATGAACAGAATAATTTTTTTAGACGTTTGGGACATGACAATAGCTTTGGAGAACTCAGAATTTCATCCAACGGATGATGTACCTAAATACATGCTTAATATGTTGTTGTCATTTAGGTGTAACACTACCGGGTATTTTAGACATCGTTAGAATTTTAGGAATTACAACTTTTGTTGAAAACAAATTATTTGGATCAGGAATCCAACATTTTTAAATTTCTGTATCATAAATATTTATTTTATTGTTTAAAAAAAATTGGCATGTAATGGAGGTAACGTTCAATGATATTCTGAAATTCAGCACACATCGATATGCCTTAATCGTTTGACTAGGAGTGGCCATTGCGTTGCTGCTATAGCCTGTCGTCGCTTACGCGCCCTTGATTACCGCTAGTCACCCTTCAGTGCTCAGATGATTATTTCAGGGCTGTACAGCTTTTATTGGATTAACTCATGCGTCACTACAAATACACAGAACGAGGCCGTAGTATAACACGGAAAACTTATCTATCATCTTCCCTAGTATTATTTATCACCTACCTAATGGTATCTGTGTGTTACTACTTACACAGGTATATAATCTAGTTGAGAATTTTAATAAACTAAGAGCAAAGCAAGTACAAGCAAAGCATGGTTTAGAATGCGATCACAGTTCAATATAACAGACATATACAGGGGTTGTTCATTAAAACACATTTAACAACCACCTAAAAATAATTCTCTATTCAGCTTTATTAATATTTCGTTACGTGGGGTGCTGTAAGGTGATAGCTGAATGAACATGCTCATTTGTGCCAGAGAACATAAATCCTCATGCTATAGAAAAAAAGCAACATAAGAGTTAACGGCGATTTAATTATAAATTCATTATGTATGTTTTTTGAACCATGAAATTTAGCCTCAAACTTTGCGATATAATAACCCGACTTTTCAAAAGGGTTTTTCAAAGCCAATTCAACATTAGAATAGCTGTATCCTGTTCAACCTGAACGCTATGTTGAAATCAGTGGCGTAGTTAGAATTTTCAGGCCCCTGTGAAAAATTATCATTGGGGCCACTTCGTCTGTCGTTAGGCTACAACTGAGTTCAATATTCAAAGGCAGCGAAGAAATCGACTGCTATTTACGATGGATAATTTTAAATAATACTAGAATACCCGTCATCCGTTGGATAACTGTGGGTTTCGGGGGTCATCCATCAAAAAACATCACGTCTGTCACTCAGAGGCATAGCGAGCCTTCCCGGCGCCCGGGGACAAACTTTTCGATTTTAACCCCCCCCCCTCAAACTTTTGATGTGCACCCCCCCCCCACTCAAACTTTCGATTTGAACCCCCCTCAACCTATCAATTTATTTTTCCAAACCATTTTGGCGCCCCAACATATGTCCCCCCCCCTTCCCCCCTCCACCTCCCCACCCCCCCCCCTCCCCCCCCCCCGCCTCCCCTCCCCACCCCCCGCCTCCCCTCCCCATCCCCCGCCTCCCCTCCCCACCCCCCGCCTCCCCTCCCCTACCGTCCCCCCCCCCCCCCTCCTCGGTACGCTACTGCAGTGTCACTTATCGTCACAAAAAACAGACCCCACATTCAAATATATGTTTTTTATCTTTTAAAAACACCGAAAACACCGATTTCGGACTATCCCTTCATAAACTGACGTCACAGGTGACCTACTCAACTCTACTTCACCTGCCCAGTGTCCTGCCAAGTCTCAGACAACATGTTTTTATCGTTTAAAAAACAATTCCAGCCGAGCATGTATCTGACCACACTATCCTTTCATATGCTTAGGACAAAGAAACAGATGAACTCTACTTCACCTGCCCTGTATCTTGCCAAGTTCAGATAGGCAACGTTATCATTCACATCTAAAAAAAAAATTGAAAAAAAAAATTTCATTGACATATTGGTCTAGAACCCGTGCCTCCTGCATGAGAGCTGACTACGCTACCATTTTAGCTATTTACTCGTGACGTCACAAGTGAATTTTTATACTATACTATGTGTCTCCTTATGCAACTTGATTTACGCGTATAGATTCTAGATCTAGATCTAAAAATAAGTCTAGTAGTACTAACTTTCAAATTAAATTTTATCTTAAATAAGCCAAACAAAGATTTATATAAAATAATTAAGGCCTGAAATAGATTCTAGATGTAGAATTTACATTGAATCTAGTGACCTACATCTAGGCTAGATCTAGATCTAGGCTAGATTCATAAATTTCCTTCGATAGCTGATCTTTAGATCTAGAGAAATTTATCGTAAAACTAAATGAAAAAGACAGTTGAAAATTGATATAAGTGTTGGAACGTAATAAATACAGCAAACGGACGTATTGTTAAAGTTATGACCGACAGAAAATTAGATTTAGAACGCGTTAAACTTTTGAATGGGAACACAATTTTCTTCAATAGACGCCGCCATTTTATTGTACTAAAGAGTAAACAAAAACCTGTGACGTCACTATTCCCACAAAGTTTAGTCAAGGTTTTAACATTTTAAAAAAAAATGGGTTATTCTGCGTAGGAATAAATCAATTAATTAATTAACGTCTTTAAATAAATTTGTGATCAACAGTCTGTCTGCATTAAAAAATTATTCTCTACCTGCATACCATTTTACAGCTTTCCAGATAGAGTCGAACATATCACAATTTTCGATCAGGCAAACAAACAAATAAATATTCAAACATGTAAACAAACTTGACTTTTAGTAGTATATAGATAAATATTCTGTACATTATTTTATACGTCCTCATTGTGTATTTATACTATATTATTATGCTGACCTACTGCCCCGTAGCTTAGTAAAATTGTTACAGACTTACATTTAATTTGATGTTTAAGTATTCAGACACATAAGGCGGTTCGGAGGTGCCGTCCACATCGGATAATAACATTTAGTGTGACAAAACATTGTATACTTTACTTACAAAACTAGATACTAAAAGATTAGTGAGAGTTTGGTGACTCCCCACTGACAATGCGAAATTGTTGTGGTCGACACCTTTAGTAAACGAATAGGGTAACACACGAACATATGACGCCACTAACCAAAAATTTAAAAAACAAAATGCGTATTATTTATTGAGATATGTTTTTTATGCTTTTAATTTCGGAAAATGATTAATAAACTCCTTGAGGTCCATTTTAGCTGCGTCTGTATGTTCAATTCTTAGTATGATCAAGTTATTGATCCAAAGGGCAGATCTATAATTTGTTTCATAGCAAATTAATATCATCATAATGATAAAGTCATAAAAGTTAAAAATACCATCATAGACATCTAAATTTCCTTCCGGATCACCGTGGAATGTAAAAGAATGTATACGTAACTAGCGTACCCATCCGCTTTGCTGCTATATGGTGATCTAGTCCCACATACCATGGTAACAAAACAATTTGTAAGGGTTTCATCAACGTGTTACCAATTGTGTATTTTTAATCGTGTTGCCTTGTTTCCTGAAACTGAGATAGTTAAAATGTAAACATCGCCGCTGTTATTATTTTCGGATCTTTGTTGCCGTGTCGCCGGTTAATCCACACTACGCTCAGGCGCCGTTGAGCGTGTTGTATGAAAGCGTTGAGTGCACGTTAATAATCCTCCGTGATAGTGAGATTGAATAACTTTCGGCGATCACCCGATCACCCATGCGTGAGGGCGTCGCGGGAGTTTCTGATTACATTACCGAAGGTAGCCTGATGCAACACCTTTTTCGGTTTAACCATGGAACGTAGAGGGTCACCGTGCCCCTAGTGTACGCTACTCTTTTGTTTCGTGTCATCCGTACTCTGGGGGCGTCGAAAGCCGACCCTGTTGTAGTTTGATCGATAAATAAGTAGTGCCCCTGACTCTTCAGGACGCGCAATCATCTGATCTAGTGCTCTCAGGTAGCTGCTGGGTAGCTCGGGGCATCCAACCGTTAATACTGCTAATGGGCCCTGTTCGACCCTATCCCCCCCCCCCTCCCGCCACCGCCACCTCCCAACCACTGAATGACACTGCCTATACAGTATGAAAAGACTGGGGGTTGGGGGTTGGTGGAGGGGGGGCGGGTCTTTTTGGAACTTTTATTTATTTCTATAGTAGAAAAGAATCTTGATTTACTTCCATACTTAGTAAAAAATTGTTTTTATAAACTACGTTAAAATTCCAATGTAAAAGTTTAAATTTTCTTTAAGAGGAAAAATGGCGCCTATTTTGCTAAGGCCCCTATGCCTTGCATACGATTGCTTTACTTTAGCTACGCCACTGCTTGACATGTTGTTCACGAAAGCGAGGTGACCGAAATAGATATTTCTTTGATCACGCTTCACATGCGTACAGAGAAAGGCAACAAGACATGTTGCACTTAGTTTAGCACAAAGATCATGCAGTTCAACATAATCCTAACCGGATGAATAGTTTCTTTTCAAGCTACGACGGAAAGGTCGTCAAAAAAGTGAGAGATGTTAGTAATATAAGAAGTTACGGGGAATGGGAGTTGTGGGCAGCTTGAATATTTAAGCTATGTGTGTGTGTGTGTGGGGGGGGGGGGGTGGGATGATTGCTGTTGTGGGTGTCGTGGCGATGGCGGGTACAATTCTTTCACTTGCCAGCTACAGAACATATTATTAATGTATTAATAGACTGCTACGCGATCCCACCATATGCCCAGGTTTCTGAAACAGATGAACTCTATTTCATCTGCCCCCCAGGTGTCTTTGGCACGAACCGGAAAAGATGATGATTATAGATTGCTTATAAAACCTTGCTTTATATTTATATAACAAAAGGGAACTAACCAAGTAATCAAACTTATAGTGTGCACGGCATCTTGAGATCACCCAACTGATGTTTTCCTGCCTGACTGAGCGTTGGTATTGAGCTAACCACACTATCCATGTGTATGCTGAGGTCTAAGCTTTATTTTATTCCACCTATTGATGGCTATCTCCGAAAAGTTGACTCTACATTTTCATCATGTATGCGATTTTTCGATTTAAATTTTCAACCCACCTATGTCTAATGAATACCCGAGACCTCGTGTTAGGTAAATACAATTTGAATTTCAATATGAATATTATTACTTCTGCAAGACTCTGATGGGAAAATAAGCATGAAACACACATTCCATATATATGACTAAAATCTGAAATCCAAGACAACTGTAATGAAATATGCGAAAAATTATCTCGTAAGCGTGGATCAATAACCTCATGGGCGTCAAAGTCAGTGGCGCAATTTTTTTTTCATGTGCTAGTGTAATTTCGTGTAAATATGTGTATGCGTGCTCCAGAAATAGAATTCATTTAACCAAGTTGTTAGATTTTTATTACAAGCTTTTACTTAACTTGCTTCCTCTGTCTGTCGACAGTCTGTCTGTCGTCAGTCTGTCTAGATCGAAACGCTCTAGAGAAATTTCGGGCACTTCTAACAGACAGATTCGTTTCAAAGTTGGCTTGTGGGTCAAGACATGAAGATAATGCAATCTGACATTAATTCTGACTTTTACCATTGTCAGCCCCTGCCCCTCGGATAATAAGTCCAGCCACACCCCGCACCCCCTAAAAATTTCAAGGAGAAAAATGTCTGAAAGAAACACTGGTCGCATATGTAGATCATACACGCTAAAAGTAGACACTACTATTATCTAGACCCGTTTGCTACTCTTGGCCGCTAAACCTCATAGTGTTTCTTTCAGACTTTTTTCTCCAGGGAAGTGGGGGCACTATACATTTTTTGGAGGGGGGGTGCTTACACTGGTAAAAGTATATATTTTCTATACATATTGTATTTAGTTCGAAAGGGGGGGGGGGGAGCGGGCTGTACTTGTTCTTCGGTGGGGTGGCGGGAGCAGGGGGGGGGGGAGATGCCTGAAAGAAACTCTGCATGCAGACACCTTTTAAGATTAGACAAATAAACTAGGTGGTGATGTTTTAGTGTCTTTATTATCAAGTATCGATGACGTCATTATTATTGTGTATTTTGTTTTGGGCAATGGCTTTTTAATTGTTTAATCAATGACGTCATTTTATTGTGTGCACGTTTCCAGCTTTAGAATATTTCCTATATGTTCAATGTGACGTCTCCTTTCCTTTTCCATTTGACAATGCAAGTTTATATTTTGCTTGTGTTTTCTCTGTATTGTTCCTTTTTTTTTTTCATTTTTATTGATATTTTATTATTTGCAAAATGAATAGTTATAATATAAACAAAAGAAAAAACTATGTTTAACCCTTGTAGATCCAACTTATTTTTTCAAAATTGTATTCCTCAGCAATACATAAGTTTACTAATAATACTAATATTTAAACTGTATTGTTCCTGCGTGACAGAGTGATATAATAGTGAAACTATTATTATAGATATGATACACAAATTCTTGCTTTCTCTGTAAAACGACACTGGATACATTATATTGTGTGGTAAACAAACCAACACAAACGCTAGCTCTCAAACCTGAAATAGATCTGGGGCTTTCTTCTAAAATATCACATGTTGATAACATGCATGGATTATTTATTGACCGATTTAAGTATTGTTACGGTTGGAAAGGAATTACGTTGCAGAAATTAAAAAAAAACATGACTAAAATTTAAAAAAATTACTTACTGCCTAGTTACTTCCCTTGATTAAAACCCACAGTTGGGCTGAGTATTGATCAACACCATAAACTTCATGTTGCACATAAAGTTGTTTCCCTTTACAAGACAACACAATGTCAATGTTGATGTTGTTAATTGGCTGATCAATATATTAGAATACTGATGTGTGTGCAGGTTTTAAACTTAATTACTCACAACACACGAGCGAATACAATATTGCGAATAATACACAGATACATACAGATCTATGCACTCCTCAAAAGCAGACTGTCTAACTCTAGTTTACGCTTACACAATTTTATAAATAAATCCACCAAAATATCATATCAATAATATTTAGTTATCAATGCCTCTTTATTTTTACAACCATCTCACCATGTACGTATCTATCTCTCTATACATCCATATATATATATATATATATATATATATATATATATATATATATATATATATATATATATATATATATATATATATATATATATATATATATATATATATATATATATATATATACACATATATACATATATAAATACATATATTTGTATATATTTATAAATTTATATACATATATAATTTATGCATATACACACCTGTATATATTATATATACATATATATATATATATATATATATATATATATATATATATATATATATATGTATATATTATGTATATGATGAAATAAATCTACGTTCTCACATATACTTGCTACAATCACACTTATCACATAAAGCACTAATACCTTACTTGAACACATGCTCATACATATTCACATTTGCGTACATACTCTCTCAAAATTAACTTAGAAAACAATCCATATTATACTATCCAAGCCGCCATTTGAAAAACTTTTATTTATATTTTATAACATCACAAAAGGTAAGAAAGACTAGGGCCACAATGTTTCACATAAAGTTTTTGTTTTACGACGAAATCGTCTGATCAAAATAACAAGGAAAATAAATAAATTTTAGTCCATCTGAATAGAAACTTGACCATATGCGTCACTTGTGTTCTACGTTAATCCGTCAAATCGTTGCTATCACAGCTGTTTCAAGAATTACAAAGGAAAATAATCATTAAAATAGCATATAAAATCAAATTATTACAACAATTTTGTATAACAAACCTGTAACTGGTCAAATATACTTTTTGCTACTTTAAACTCAATCTCCAGAAACAAAAAAAAAAAACCAATTAAAAAAAAAGAATTTACTATATACAACTTATTTGTACTGATTGTTAACTTAATGCATCTTTCCTTCATATTAGTATAACTAATTTCAATAACTTTAATTAATAAATTAACTAGAGTTTACTTATTCTAACAAGGGAGACAAACGCTGATAAAAAACTAGGACACTTACTTTTAGCTGGTAAGTATATTAATCATTGAACAAGAAGATTAACTATTTTTTTTTTTTACGGAGAGTTAAGGGGAGAGAAATAAAGAAAACAGCAATGCATATGGTGTTATTTAAACAGTAGTCTCCCCTTGTAAAACACACTCATGACTTACTCTAAGAATTCCTTGAAGCTGATGACGTTGTCATGGTTTTTGTCAAGCTTGTGTAATAGCGCCTCGGCTTTATGCTCGTGTTTCTGTTAGGGATCAAGTTCAAATAAAACATTATATAATACATAAAATATAACAATAAATTCAGTTATAAATATATAAACAAATACACCATAAAATACAACATTCATTAGAACATTAAATAAAACATTTACTACATTAATTACAAGATTAAATGTAAAATTAAATACAACATTAAATACTACATTAAATACAACATTGAATGCACCATTCAAGAAAACTATAATTAAAACATTAATTACAATATAAAACATGACAGTGATCACAATATTAAATATAATATTAAATGTAATATTAAATTTAATATTAAATACAACATTAAAGACAACATTGAATACAAAAGTAAATACCGTAAAAAATACAACATTAAGTTCATCATCTAATACATAACTATATTAAACATTAAATACAAAATTACATTGAATTGGTATTTCCTATTGTGCTAAAATTTTATTGTACGATGCAAGTGTATACAATATTAAGTTTACTCAGAGGCGTTGCGACCCTTCCCGGCGCCCGGGGACAAACTTTTCGATTTGCACCCCCCCCCCTCAAGATTTCGATTTGCACCTCCCTAAACCTTTCAATTTATATTTCCAACCCATTTTGGCGCCCCCTAAGGTCGGCGCCCGGGGACATATGTCCCCCCCCCCTGCCTCCCCCCCCTCGCTACGCTACTGAGTTTACTTTATAGCTTATACTATTTATAATGGACACACGTTTTGTTTGTACAAAAGGATGTACTGGCTTCGTCCTTGGGGCCAAGAACATAAATAACGTATTGTGATTGTTAGTAAAAAATATATAAGCTCCCATTTTTTTGTAGGTTTAGACGTTCAAAATTATCCGTTGTATTTACTTTTATCTTCGATTATACAAAAGATGAACATAATTTTAACATCTTGAAAGAAAGGTAATTCAATTAGAGGTAAACGTCTTTTCCCATAGAAAGTAAGATAAAACTTTGCACCGTTATTTAGAATGTCCTGTTTGTAAGGTTGCAAATATTTTGGCGATGGATTTTTGTGGAGAACATGTTTTTAAATATCAATGTATGTATTTAATGAGCATGACGTAAGAAAAACTTTGCTACAGAATAGTACTGAAATGCGATCAACTAATTGATTTCAACGTTATACCATGCGCTCTTTTGTAGCTTGATTTAAGTAGTTAAAGTCAGCGTAAATAAATAAATAGATAAATAGATAAATAAATAAATGAATATATATATACATATATATATATATATATATATATATATATATATATATATATATATATATATATATATATATATATATATATATATATATATAAATATATATATATATATATATATATATATATATATATATATATATATATATATATATATATATATATATATATGTTTGTGTGTGTGTAAATTTCAATAACATTGGGTACAATAACAACTTACAACGATTTAGCTTACTAAGACCAAGCTTAACAATATTATTAAGCTCAACACTAGGAGCTCTAAAACACGTACATGATGTACACGTGTTTCTTATTCTAAAACCAATTTATCCTCCCGCATGTGAATTTTAAGGGCTTGGCCTGGGGTTTCCAGCTTAACGAAATACCTTGATATCCCATCTTTAAGACCAGATCTCCTTTCTTAATGCTTGGATCTCTTAAATGAAGGCCTAGATGTCTTACATCATAGCCTAGATCTTCCACCTTAAACCATCTATATCTCCCTCAAAACCTGCATTCAGTGTTTTTTGAACTGTTGTGTCCCTTCTTTACATTAATCCCAGATCTCTTACTTTAAAATAAATCTTTGATCGAGCAAATTAGGTCAAACCTATGTCTACCTTAAAGAAATGCTTCAGTTCTGGTAAACTGATGTGCCCACCTTAAAGAAATGCTTCAGTTCCGGTAAACTGATGTGCCCACCTTAAAGAAATGCTTCAGTTCCGGTAAACTGATGTGCCCACCTTAAAGAAATGCTTCAGTTCTGGTAAACTGATGTGCCCACCTTAAAGAAATGCTTCAGTTCCGGTAAACTGATGTGCCCACCTTAAAGAAATGCTTCAGTTCCGGTAAACTGATGTGCCCACCTTAAAGAAATGCTTCAGTTCCGGTAAACTGATGTGCCCACCTTAAAGAAATGCTTCAGTTCCGGTAAACTGATGAGCCCACCTTAAAGAAATGCTTCAGTTCCGGTAAACTGATGTGCCCACCTTAAAGAAATGCTTCAGTTCCGGTAAACTGATGTGCCCACCTTAAAGAAATGCTTCAGTTCTAGTAAACTGATGTGCCCACCTTAAAGAAATGCTTCAGTTCCGGTAAACTGATGAGCCCACCTTAAAGAAATGCTTCAGTTCCGGTAAACTGATGTGCCCACCTTAAAGAAATGCTTCAGTTCTGGTAAACTGATGTGCCGACCTTAAAGAAATGCTTCAGTTCCGGTAAACTGATGTGCCCACCTTAAAGAAATGCTTCAGCTCTGGTAAACTGATGTGCCCATCGTGATTGGAGTCAAAGATCTGAAACAGCAGACGATGCACTGAAATGTCTTCGTCATCACCGGATCCGATGTCGTCATCAGGATGGTGATAATACCCAGCCAATGAGAGGGCCGGTAACAACAGAAGGGGAATGGTTATAAATAGCCTCATCCTGAAAATATAATGGATTTTTCGTTGTTTGAACACAGTCATTTATGAGTTTAGTAGTTTGTATACAGTCATTTATGAGTTTAGTAGTTTGTATACAGTCATTTATGAGTTTAGTAGTTTGTATACAGTCATTTATGAGTTTAGTAGTTTGTATACAGTCATTTATGAGTTCTGTTGTTTGAATACAGTCATTTATGAGTTTTGTTGTTAGCATACAACCATTTATGAGTTTCTTTTTTTGCATATAGTCATTTATGTGTTTTGTTGTTTGAACACAGTCATTTATGTGTTTCGTTGTTTGTATACAGTCATTTATGAGTTTCTTTGTTATTTCTTAATAAAGTCATGTACAAGCAGTGGCAGGCGGATCTAGAGGCTGCATTTGACTGCATAGCTTCCTGAAAGCTTTTGTTTTTCTAAAACTGGAAATATAAAATCAGTTGATCGTTTGCTATTAGCCTTTTCCACCCCGGGGTTATAAATACACATCGACTTTTTTAGCCGTTAACTCAGAGGATGAAACGTTATTGATGTAGTACCTATATTGAAATAATTTTTTTGAAAATTTTAACAATTAAACATTTGAGTATAAAGTTATATTAAAATAAATATTGATTGCCAAAATAACAAGAATATTACATTTATTTGTCAACAAGATAGTGTACTTATTAATTAATAATTGTAATAATAATAAAAAAAGCTTTTATGCTCAAGTGTTGTGTCCTGTTTGTTGTAGTTGTTTCAATGTGCATAACTCATTGCAGCTTTTAGTTCAGAAATTTATATTTTTAAATCTTTAATTTCAATATAATTTTGCTAATTTTAAATTTTTTATGTCATTTTCGTTCCTAGATAATTATCAAAAGTTTTTTGAAAAATCTGAACATAATTTATCTAATATATACGCATGCATACTAAATACGTTTTTGCTTAATTTTTAGTTAACATGTATTTGTGTGTTAAGCATTTAACAAAACATTCCTTCTACACGTTTAAAATACATTCATTAACATTTGGTAGTTGAGAAAAAGTAACTTATAGTAAATATCTAAGCTGTGGAATCACGGTGTTTAAAATGGTTACACATAGTTACTAAAGTTACAATATTCCTATATTTGTTTATCCGTTCACGTAATAACAAAATGTATTAACGACCGCATATTTAAATAAATCCTATTGTAAAACAAACCCAACAAGTATGTTTTATGCATGTGATGAAAATGATTTGACAAAATACAAATTGAAATTTATGTTTTCGAATTCCCCTAACACAATCGACTCGTACAGAATCCAACGTTGAACAAATAAATTACCTTCTTGGTTTAGTTTACTCCCCTTAATCAAGTTATCTCCTCATTATTCTAAAAATATCTAATCGCGTTATAACGTCCCTTGTAACTTAGAGTACCTGAAAATCCTGGTCATGTCTACGAAGTGTTAGCTCTAGATCCAGATCAGGACTAGCCACCTCTCCAAAAAATCTCAAACCTGATCACATCCCTGCCAAAATCCATTGATCCAACTACAAAAACACACAAAATCACGAAAAAACAATGTAGTGATCAACCAACGTTACATAATGAGGACATAAAGAGAACTCATCTTTCAGATTCAATACTGGAGTAGAAATTTACCCTCGGCCAAAGCCATTGAAGTGCCGCGATCAATGATTTTTTATGTTTTTACCGTACGGAGCGACACATAACTGATAAATAGGTCACGATTTTATAGAGTTTGCATCAATATTGGGTGTGTTGAAATTAATTAAACGTGCTTGCTTATAGTGTGAATATGGAGTGTTGTTTTTATTTCTAAACGTTTAACGAAAAATATCTTATAAAAATGTAATCGAAATGCAATTTAGAAAAAAAATAACAACTGTCGCACTGGTACGTGGGGAAAAAATAAACTGTTTGAAGTGTCGAAAATTGATAGGTTACTTGTCCTCGGTTTCGTAGGTTACCTGTACTGAAATTAATGTTTAAAATGTTGTCTAACCCTCTTAATAGCCACATGTGGCTACATATAAAAATACTTTGAACACTTACAACCGGACTATAAAATTGTGAATATTTCCGTACATCTTTTACGAGCGGTAAATAAAAATTGTAATTAAAACAGCCCAAAAGTAGGGAAATTTTAGGGACCTTTTTATGTTAGAGTGCAGTGCATGCATGCATGTATGTGTGTGTGGATTTGTGTGTGAGTGTTGCTATAGTTTGCACTTTTGATGCAGGATGTTTTTTTTATTCGAAGCTTTGAATACTTTATTAACATTAGCTTGATTAACCAATTAACATTCCGTGTGTTACCGATTTCATAATGTCCTCGACCTTTACAAGATTCTTTGATTCACTTAACAATGAGTCAACAAAGAAAAACAAAGATGTCATTATTATAAGCGAACAAACGCAGTGAAAAGTCTAGTCCAAAGTCCAAGTAAACGAGACTAACATGTTGACACGTAAGACTTAATTATGTGAGAAAAATCTCTTTCAAAAAAAAAGAACACCTCAAATAGACGTTAACATATAGTACATCGACAGCCTTTAATACTACGAAAACATAAGTACTAATACATCACCACTGTACCATTACGCCATCACCACATGTACGTTTACATTACCACCTGTACTGGCACACCTCCACATGTACAGGTATACAAACAATTTTACTGGTACACAAACACCTGTACTGGTACACAAACACCTGTACTGGTACACAAACACCTGTACTGGTATACAAACAATTGTACTGTTACACAAACAATTGTACTGGTACACAAACACCTGTACTGGTACATCACAACCGTATTTTGTCCTGGAATAACATCCGTTTTTGACTTTAAAATTATCTGTTATACCATGTTTACAGCTTTTAAAGCAATGAGCATTTGAAGAGGCGGAGATTAAAAGGCTTTATACCTTATAATTAGAATGTATAAAGGATGATATAATCGATGCAGCAAAAATAGTTTATTATTTTAATCATTGATTACATAACTTTTTGTACTGGACTCATTAGCTCTCGTATGTAAGCCCTGATTTATTTTTTAACAAAAAATTTTTTTTTTAAATTACTTTATTAATAGCATTCACGTTATGCGATTTGATTTTATTGTTAAAAAATAAATTAGGGCCTAAACTCACACACAAATCCACACACACATACATGCATGCACTGCACTCTAACATAAAAAGGTCCCTAAAATTTCCCTACTTTTGGGCTGTTTTAATTACAATTTTTATTTACCGCTCGTAAAAGATGTACGGAAATATTCACAATTTTATAGTCCGGTTAAAGTGTTCTGGGTTGATGAAATTTCATATGTAAGTATTCACCGACACACACACACACACACACAGACATACGGACAAAGGAGCAAAACTATGTTTTTCCTACTCAGGAATGTGTAAAACGTCAACATTTGTGAAAATCTCGATTTCGTTGTTTTGCACGATTACAATACTTTCTCTATACTTCATATACGAGAAAGTAAAAATGTAAACCGGGCTGTGTATGCGCCCCATAATAGATTAACACGTAAAAATTAATATAATAGTTACGTGTTAATCTATTAATATATCAAAGAAACAATGTATTACAAACCATCAGATTATAGTTTTACAGATTAATGTCTTAGCTCAGGGGTCTCCAAACTACGGCCCGCGGGCCAGATGCGGCCCGCGAGGTCCTCTCATCCGGCCCGCGGACATCTTTTTGTCCACGGAGAAAACGTTTGTTGGTGATGGCTGAGGAACTTTGCCCAGAAAAATCAAAGACATGCCTCGAAGAAAATGGCCCCCGAACTGAAATTTGATGGGTAATGCGGCCCTCGGACTGAAAAGTTTGGAGACCCCTGTCTTAGCTGCAGTGGCGTAGGCAGGGGGGGGGGTTAGGGGGGGTCATAACCCCCCCGCCCATAGACCCCTCGGTATATATATATAAAGTATGAGGGGGGTGCAAATCAAAAGTCTGAGGGAGGGAGGTGCAAATCGAAAGTCTGAGAGGGGGGGGGGTACAAATCGAAAGCTTGTCCTCGGGTAAAAATTGGAACCCCCCTTGAGACGATCCTGGCTACGCCACTGCTTAGCGGAACCTGTAATGTAATGAATTAAATTCATGACAAAAAAAATAAAAGTAGGTTTCTATCATTACAAAGCTTTGATAAGCGAAAACGTTTACAGTAGACGAATTCAGGTAAGACTAATCTCTTTACGACTACGGATATCTACAGTCCATGATAACATTATGGGTAACCTATCTAATCGTAAAGCGGAAGTCCGATACGTGTGCTCAAAACAGGATCTGATAATGTTTGAAGATAACAGATTAACTTAGCCGCTTATGCTGATGGGAGTCAAGAAGTAACATCAATTATATCGTGTGTTTCATTTACATGTACAATAGAAATCTATAAAAACCATAGCACTTCACGCTATTTCCGATTTATCAATAAACGCAGTTAAATTTATTTTTAACTTCTTCTTATTTCTTCGTTTTTAAGTTTAGGAGAGATCACTCTCGCTTTCTTTATACGAAGCTTTGAATACTTCATTAACATTTGTAACCGACTATCATTTGCTGTGTAACCTGTTTTATCAGTGTTCTCGACCTTTCCTTGATTCTTGGTTAAGGAATTAATCTCGTTGACAGCATTTGTTGAGTAGCAGAAATAAAGAATTAATCTCGTTGACAGCATTTGTTGAGTAGCAGAAATAAAGAATTAATCTCGTTGACAGCATTTGTTGAGTAGCAGAAATAAAGAATTAATCTCGTTGACAGCATTTGTTGAGTAGCAGAAATAAAGAATTAATCTCGTTGACAGCATTTGTTGAGTAGCAGAAACAAAGAATTAATCTCGTTGACAGCATTTGTTGAGTAGCAGAAACAAAGAATTAATCTCGTCGACAGCATTTGTTGAGTAGCAGAAATAAAGAATTAATCTCGTTGACAGCATTTGTTGAGTAGCAGAAACAAAGAATTAATCTCGTTGACAGCATTTGTTGAGTAGCAGAAACAAAGAATTAATCTCGTCGACAGCATTTGTTGAGTAGCAGAAATAAAGAATTAATCTCGTTAACAGCATTTGTTGAGTAGCAGAAATAAAGAATTAATCTCGTTGACAGCATTTGTTGAGTAGCAGAAATAAAGAATTAATATCGTTGACAGCATTTGTTGAGTAGCAGAAATAAAGAATTCATCTCGTTGACAGAAATGAAGAAACCTAATCTGAGTTTTGAGGATAATTTTCTGGATATATCCATTCTACCTGGACAACCAGGAGCTGAATTCACCACGTCAACCTATCCAGGCTCAGCCACGAACAACCCGTGGTTGCCGATGTCCGGAGGTATCCCAAGCAACCATGCTGTCACCAGCGACCAAAACACTGGACAGACGCTGGACAACCTGGACGTGAGCAAATTGTCTAGCGTAAACACGTCTGTTGACAACCAGTTTACCAGACAAGAGTCAAACTTGGACAAAAATACGCGTGTTTACATTATGCCTTCCGGTGCTGAGCTGAGCTACGTCACCACAAAGACTCCGAATTCTTGGAGCTATGATGGGATAGAAAATATACTCCAGAGATTTGAACCGCCAAAAGTGGTAAGAGTTTTATCAATATTCATGTCAAAAATATTACTCTCACTATTATTATTTTTAAAAAAATGTAACTATTTTATAATTAAAATCAACAATACACCTACATTTTAAATTTTTAAATAGACGCAATAATTCATGTTTTGAGGTTTATCCTCAGGTAATTGGTCTCAAGTGTGATTTAAGCACCGAGGCCTGTTATGAAAAAATTGTTTTTTTTTAAAACATTCGCTTTATTTTATAGATGAAAAACCATTCCGAACAATATTTGTACACTGTCATTTACATAATTGAATTCAATTAACTGATCTTTCTAGTTGTAAATCTAAGAAATAGTATAACTTAAAGCTTTTAACTATGATTCCTGTCTAAAACAATCTTTAAATAAACCGGGAGTGATCTCCCCTAAACTTTCTCGAATATTCTTATATAACTTAGAATGTAGACAAGATTTTTAATTACTTAAACTTTTAAAAATAGAATAGAATCTCATAGAAAAAAGAATTGCGCACCAAGCGAACGCCAAAACAAAATGTGCATAATAGTGCGCAATATTATTAGTACTTTATAAATTTACATGCGTTTTTTTGAGAAATCGGAAATAGCGTAAATTAGTACTTCCGGTCAACGGAAATTACTCAAAATTTGAAAGAAGGTAGAGAATTAGATCTTTTACTTACAAGTAAAATTTCATTTATCTATTTGAAATAGTGCTCAAGTTATAGGCTTTTGCAAAATTCAAAGTTGGAAAAGTACCACTTCCGGTTATCGGAAATCGCTCAAAAGTTGATACGGATCTACGATTTTGATAAAATACTTATATATGAAATTTCCTCAACCTAGCTGTAACGATACACAAGTAATGGTGTTTACACACAGACAGACAGACAGACAGACAGACACACACACACACACACACACACACACACACAGACACACACACACACAGACATACGGACAAGATTGCAAAATTATGTTTTTCCGTATCAGTGAGGTGTAAAACGTCGAGATTTGTAAAAATCTCGATTTTTTTTGCACGATTACAATACTTTCTCTATACTTCGTATATACGAGAAAGTAAAAACGCAAACAAATAATTCAGTTTTTAACACAGCTGATCTTGCGTATGCCATATAAAGGGAGTGTTCTTATAAGTGTTTTGTGCTGTATTTATAGAATTAACAGATCCTGAGACGTAGAAAAAAAAACAGAAGTTGTCTGTACTGATGAATATCTACAATATAACGCTGGTGTTAGTGTGTCACTCCGTAATCGATATAGATTTTAGAACCTTGTGGAAGTCTCTCCCTTGGCGCGGATGGTCGGGAAATATTACGGTTGAAATTACGCCTTGAGTTCGGGAAGGAGTGACGTCTGGGCGGACGCTCGTGAGAGCGTTTCCTTTCAATTTTTTTTTACCGTAATTTAATTTTTAATATCCATATTCACACCAAAGGGCTACCGGCAGCGCGGTGCGCTGAAGGAATATTCGCCCCTATTCGGAGACCCCCATCCACGTGCAGCGCGGTAAACTCTGATGTAATATCCATATCCACACCGTGGCGAAGCATGGGTATGCAGCTAGTTGTTGTTATTCATTAAAAAAATATCCTAGGTTCGTTCTGACCTGTACCCAAGCAGATCTTCCCCGCCGGAAACAGATGTTTAATATTTTTCTACCGTTTTCCCGCCTTCACCGAGGGTCATGGCACGGGTCGATATATTTCAATGTCACAGCCTGAAATAGAATTTAATATACGAGCCGACCCGCGGCGTATCATACGCCGCTATTTAGTTGTTTTATTTTCTACTTTTCAGTAATTCATAATTTGTGAATTCGACAGTACCAATGCTGCCACTGAAAATATTTGCTTTAAAACACTAAACCCCCCCCCCCTTTCCCCCAACCCCTACCCTATACCCCCCCCCTCCCCCGTGAAAGCAGCCTCCTCTTAGCTACCTCCTGTGAGTTTAAAATCGTTTCAAACTAAATTATCTGCCCCTAATAGCCGTCAACAAACCCGGCTCTACGATTTGTAAACATTTAGAGTGAATCACAGCTCACCAGATCATGTGGGGGTGGGGTGGGGGTGGTAGTGATAGTGATAGAGAGGAAGAGAGGGGACTGCAAAGGCGCGCTTGCAGGTTGTTTTCTAACGGCTCCCAGAAGAGAATTATATATATAGATTTTCTACCCATTTTCATCCCATCCTTCATAAAGGGTCGACTACTACGCACGGGTCGAAGTATATTTTATCTGCCCCGGACTTTTTTTTCCTGCCCTTTTTGTACATCCTCCCGAAATATCGACGAAAGATCGCTGCCCGTGCCGATATATTTCGATATTTATTCTTGAAATGAGCTGTTTAATTCATTTGTTCTACCCCTCTTGATCCCAACAATCGATTAAGGGTAAATACACGGTGTGATATAAATCAATTGAAATAACTTATATATATTTTTTTCTACCCATTTCCCCCGGCTTTCCCTATTCGTCGACAAAGTGTCGACACATGAGCTGCGATAAATTTTATTCTACCTCTTACCCGTCTATTTGTAACCTTTCGCACACCCTCCCCGATATATTTCATTATCTGTTCTTGTAATAAGCTTTTTAATTAATTTTTCTACCTCTTACCCGTCTTTTTGTTCCCTTTTGCACACCCTCCCCGATATATTTCCTTATCTGTTTTCGAAATAAGTTTTTAAAAATAATTTTTCTACCTCTAACCTGTTTTTTTGTGCCTTTTTGCACAACCTACGCGATATATTTCCTTATCTGTTTTCATCTTTTTTCGAAATGAGTTTTTAAAAATAATTTTTCTACCTCTAACCTGTCTTTTTGTGCCTTTTTGCACAACCTACGCGACATATTTCCTTATCTGTTTTCGAAATAAGTTTTTAAAAATAATTTTTCTACCTCTAACCTGTCTTTTTGTGCCTTTTTGCACAACCTACGCGATATATTTCCTTATCTGTTTTTAAAACGAATTTTTAAAAATCATTTTTCTACCTCTAACCTATATTTTTGTGCTTTTTTTTTTAACAACCTACGCGATATATTTCCTTATCTTTTTCGAAATGAGTTTTTTAAAATAATTTTTCTACCCCCAACCCGTCATTTTGTGCCTTTTTTGCACAACCTACGCGGTATATTTCCTTATCTATTTTCGAAATGAGTTTTTTAAAATCATTTTTCTACCTCTAACCTATATTTTTGTGCTTTTTTTTTAAACAACCTACGCGATATATTTCCTTATCTTTTTCGAAATGAGTTTTTAAAAATAATTTTTCTACCCCCCAACCCGTCTTTTTGTGCCTTTTTGCACAACCTACGCGATATATTTCCTTATCTTTTTTCGAAATGAGTTTTTTTAAAATAATTTTTCTACCTCTAACCTGTCTTTTTGTGCCCTTTTGCACAACCTACGCGATATATTTCCTTATCTGTTTTCGAAATAAGTTTTTTAAAATAATTTTTCTACCTCTAACCTGTCTTTTTGTGCCTTTTTGCACAACCTACGCAATATATTTCCTTATCTTTTTTCGAAATGAGTTTTTTAAAAATAATTTTTCTACCTCTAACCTGTCTTTTTGTGCCCTTTTGCACAACCTACGCGATATATTTCCTTATCTGTTTTCGAAATAAGTTTTTTAAAATAATTTTTCTACCTCTTACTTAGTCTTTTAGTAGTCGCGTGAGGATTTTGTGCGTGTATTTGTGTCAATCCCCATTTGAGCGAGAGACAGCAGGCAAGCAAGGCCACCATTTTTGTTTAAAAATGTGTCGTTAGCAGCAGACTTCAGGACTCTGCAGCTTAGCAAGCGCTGCCTCTTGCTGAGTTTTTATAAGGCACTCACAATAGTGTAGCCCATCTCTAGGCTAACTCTAGACACCCAATTAGCAGACACAAAGGCTCATGCTATTTTGAATGGGCGCTCCTCATTCTCACGTGATAGTTAGACGGTCTGAAGCCCCTTTAAAAAGGCTCAAACAAGTACTTAAAGGGCGTCTCTAGCAGACGACTTCAGGACGCAAGCTGCTAAAAAGGCGCCCACTCTCACGTGAACACTGGTTGTGTACCAACGAACTCAAAAGTTTGTGAAAATTATACATCAAAATGCGAGCCTCCTAGGCAGAGGCGTAGCGACCCTTCCCGGCGCCCGGGGACAAACTTTTCGATTTGCACCCCCCCTCGAACTTTCCATTTGCACCCTCCCTCGAGATTTCCATTTGCACCCCCCCCCCCCCTCAAACTTTCGATTTACACCACCCCAGGGGCGGAACTACAGTGCCGCCAGACCCCGCAATGCGGGGGGGCCCAGACCAATTGGGGGCCCAAAAATCCTGGCTAAATTATTTTTTAAAAAATTAACACAAAAAAAAATAGGTGGAGGTCGAGTTATCTTTCTTCTACAGTTACAAACAAACACGATAGTCGGCAAACGTCTTTGAGAAAAATGCACAGACTATAACTCGAGAGACCGCCAGACATATAGACAACTTCAAAGACGAAGCATCTGAAATTTGACTGTGCCGGCACGCTTTGAAATCGGGCTGGGGAAATGTTGCGGCGAGGCGACTATCCTGGTCTTCTAGACGATCGGAAAAAGTCGGCACTATTGATGTAGATGTTTATCGGCGCTTTCTTGTCCGCCTCCCTTCCCAACTCTCTCTCCCCCCCCCCCTGCCCCCTACCCCTCACCACTGCCCCTCACCACTGCCCTTACTCTTACAATAAGATGTAATGCATAGATTAACGAACCGTCTATGAACTGTAAACTGACCAGTTCTGCACATTTTATTAAAGACACTAGTCAGTAGTTGTTCATTTACCTGATGAACAGGGGCGGAACTACAGTCCCGCCAGACCCCGCAATGCGCGGGAAGGGGGGGGGGCGGGGCAGGCCGTTTAGGGGCCCACGGCTGACCAAAATTAATTTTTTTTTTAAATTTTGAATTTAATTTTTGCCTTAATATTTGGTTTGTAAAAGAAAAACACTGTAGCTGCGGTACGATTATTTTTATTCTACAGTCACTATACCACGCTCTTCCACAAAAGATAAAATCCATTACACAAACTACAGTGTAAAATATAGGCAACTCTTCAAATTTTAAATGACTACTTTGACTCGTTGCCCCCCCCCCCTCCCTTTGATAGCTAAAAAGAGGACACGTAACTGTTTGACCGATCCTCCAAAGTGTACTGTGGCGGATGGGGCAGGGGATGGGGACCAAAAAGGGGGTTAAAAATTGTCGACAATTTTTTTACATATTTAAAACAGTTATTTTTAGTTGTATTTTTTAACCATCGTCAAGGCCGAGTTCTATTTCCCTACAATCAAACACACGCTGTCGCGGGCAAAATTCTTTTTAAAAAAACAACAAAGTCCATAGCACGAAAAGCCGCTACATATGAAGTGGGCTTTCATGATGCGCGGTTCTTATTTGCGGCATTGGTAAGGGACCCGAAATCCATTGTACATTTTTCAATGTTAAAATATGTGTTTGTGATAGTGGTTGAATTTGTATCCGGTACTATCTTGTATCGTACAAATAATTTAAAAAAAATAATATAATACTAGAAACTTCAGTTTTATATACGTTTACTTGTTTTTGATTTTACAAGAAATATAGTAAACTTTTAAGGCCTATACTTCAAATTATCTCCCCTGAGTAAGTTTTACAATGGGCGATGCTGACGTACATAGATCAAGGCGTTTTGTTGTCTCTTTCAAGTTTTTTTTCCCGAGCCGACCCCTATCCCATCCCTCTTTCTCAACCTCACAAGTATCGAGGAGATAAAAAATGTATCGTTTATGAACTACTTCCTAACCGTGCGATTCACCACTTCAGCACATTTTGTCAGACACTAGACAGCACTAGATCTAGTCAACACATATTAATTTACTTTCATAGTATTAGGCACATCTAATTCACAAAACAGGGCAGGTAAGATTATTTTTTATATAATTATTTAGAAATTTATTAGAACGTTTAGAATTAATTGAACATTATTAATAGTCATTGAGGTGGGGGTGTGTGAGGGTCTGGCTTTTTGTTAATCCCCCCTCCCCTAAATCAGAAGGTTATTTTTTCTAGTTCCGCCACTGATACACATGACATGTTGTTGTGATTAGATTTAATTGATTTTTTTTTTCAAAACCCGATCAGGCCAGAAATGAGTATCCTATGTTCGTATTGTGTATATATATATATATATATATATATATATATATATATATATATATATATATATATATATATATATATATATATATATATATATATATATATACATATATGGGGGGCCCAAAAATTTTTTTTGCGGGGTGGCCCATTTTTTCTAGTTCCGCCACTGCACCACCCTCAACCTTTCAATTTATCTTTCCAACCCATTTTGGCGCCCCCTAAGGTCGGCGCCCGGGGACATATGTCCCCCCCCCGCCCCCCCCCCCCCCTCCCCCTCGCTACGCTACTGCTCCTAGGAACCTCAAACTTTAATTAAAAGCTTCAAACAAATCTGAAAAAAAAAACATTTTAATAACAAGCTTTTATGTAATATCTATAGATCAAAATCGAATTTGAATGAAATATATTTCATTTCTTCATTATTCTGTAGTTTAAAAATGTGACATGTGACGTCATTTTTTTTTGTTGCGTTCTTGTCACAATCATACTTTTTCCGGTTGCATAATTTTTTTTAATTTTTTTTTTTTTTTTACAAGCTTTTATTTAACTCACTTCCTCTGTCTGTCGTAAGTCGACAGTCTGTCGTTAGTCTAGATCGAAACGTAGGAGTGAAAATTCGGACAGTTCTACTTGACCGATACGATTCACAGTTGGCACGTGGGTCAAGACATGAAGACAGTGCAATCTGAAACTAAATTTGACTTAATTGGATGCCTAATTAATTTTTAATGAATTAATTAAAATTTGGACCGAATTAGTAGGCATGTCTCTCCAACCACACCACACGCGTCATCACGTTCAATAGCTGCGCCATCAGGTTCAATAGCTGCACCATCACGTTCAATAGACGCGCAATGGTTTTTAGTCATGTAACACTATTGTAAATAAAACATGTAAAGTACTGAAAAAAAATCATAAAAAACGTTTTAATAACAAGCTTTTATGTACTAATGCACTAAAAAGTAGAAAATAAATTATACACTATTATTTAAATTACTATAAAGAAAAGCGTGGGTTTCTTCTCAAATATTAGTAAAGGTATCCAATAGGTACTAAAGTACTAAAGTGACCCACGCTTTTCTAAAATTTCCGGGGGGGGGGGGGGAGCGGACACTGTAAAAAGTGTATATTTGCTCTATAAAATCCATTTCGTTTGGGGAGGGGGGGGGGGGGGCGGTAAACTTTCTTCTGCACAGCTTATCCCAATATCTGTTGAAGTCAGTTGTTTATTTTTAGTGCGTATGAACAATTCAGGATATCCTGGTCGCTGAGCTATATCTTGCGTTGACTTCATTAGCTATCTGCTGCACTCTGCAGAAATATGCGCCTTGCGTTATTTTTATTTTTTTATTTTCCAATTTATATTTCATTTTATTTTTTTGTGAGGATCAAATACTTGTATTACTAGATCTAGTAAAAAAAAAAAAAACTGTATTTATTCTTTATGAACTAATCAACTATATTTATTTCTTTTTATCTAATTACTGTTTATGACCTAAATTTAGAGCAGTGTTTCTTTCAAACTTCTTTTCTCCTCGGCGGGGGTTAGGTGGGGGGGGGGGGGGAGACTTTATATTTCCGGGGGTCGGACTAAATTTTCGATGGGGGGGGGGGGGGAGTGCGGACACTGGTAAAAGTAGGCTAAATATTTTCTATATAAATTCCATTTCGTTCGGGGGGGGGGGGGGTGCCTGGAGGAAACACTGATTTAGACTCATACTATTAAGATGTTCATACATTCAATTTTTACAGGAACCACCCGTAGAGCCGCATATACGGAATTATGTCCCTCTTAGTATTGTGGTTACGCTCCTGTTCTCATGGTTGTTTGGACTTTTTGCTCTTAATTACGCCAGAAAGGTGAGTTACCTTGGTGGAATGGATGGTACTGTGACGTGTACTGGCTATTAAAAAGTCTAATAAGGTTCTTCTGTTTTGGTGGGGGGGGGGGGTCGGAGTATGGCTGGCCACATATGATAAATAAGTTCCTAAGGTTGTTGTAGCTTTAGTGTGTCATGGCCATCTTGTATTCCTGTGAGGTTCTGGCTTGGTGTGTGTGTGTGTGAGGGGGTGCATTTCGCATATTCATAAATATATATATATATATATATATATATATATATATATATATATATATATATATATATATATATATTCCGTCTTGCTCATACTTGCCCTATACTCTATGCTATCCACAGGCAAATTTATACAAAAGAGAAAAGAAGTACAACGAAGCTGTGAGTGCGGCACACAACGCCTCAAACCTGAATTTTGTCGGTATCTTCTGGGGTCTCATCGGCAACGCCCTGCTGGGTGTCGCGATCTGGCAAGTCCACCACCTGTACAGGTAGTTGGACGGTGTTACGTGAAGTCTGAAGGGCGGACGTTAGTAACAGAAGATAAGCCGCAATGGGAGGCGCTTGAGGTGTGTCAATTGATGTGTGGTGTATTTGGGAGGTGTATCTTCTGTTAGAGGTATTGGTGTATTTTAGAAATGATTTCCGGCAATGTAGTTATTGGCTAATTTATTGAATGTTTAAAAGTAGTGTAGGTATTGGCGTATTATAGGAATGTTTTCAGGTATTGTAGGCATTTGCGTATTTGGGGAATGTTTCAGGCATGGTAGGTATTGGCGTTTTTGTGAGAGACTCAAGACGTCTATATATCTAAAAAAAATGAAGTCTTCTTGCGACAAACAGACGTTACGTTACGTTAGATACAGAGACTGACCTATTTTTTAAAACACGATGGTCCGTGTGTATCAAGTTCTGTGCAATGTTTTAATGTTAATTGGACTTCGTTATTGACATTAATCACATGCTTTATATTATATTCGTCGATATACTGTTTTGATGTAACCTTGTATTATATCTTCATTTACATTACATGTTCTGTCATGACAAATATCTGTTAAACGATAATTTGAATGTTTGTAATATATTTTATCGTTTTCACATTCGCCAAGTATTATGTTTTCGTATACATGTTTAGCTCCAGTGTGACTTGTACGGAATCGGTTTTACATTTTCTAAAACACAACATTTTAGTGTTTGGTTTTGTGGTGCTTGAATACTTTTATGACGGTCTACGTTAGATTTAGTCAAGCAAGAGACTGATAGCTTGCACTACCAAATACTGTTCTGTGTCTCACAACGATGATAATCAACTAAATTTACCACACATATTTATCATCCAAAGCTGCTGATAACGCTTACTATCAAACACTACACAAATATCCAACACATGTATATGAACAACGGTTCCCTTCGATAATTTTATAGGACGAACTAAATTATTATTTTCTTTAATGTATTTTCACATGTCCGTAAATGCTCAGTATTGCATATGATCACATTTGTTTATTTTTATATGTATGATTCTATTTTTGGCATAGCTGTTGCGTTTAATCGAAACAAACTCTACATTTTGTTTTGCCAGGTGAAATGTTTTAATTTGTTCAACCAAACATTTTATTGAAAATTCTGATACACGGTATGTTAATCAAGTATTGCCTATAGAAATATTTTAGACTTATTGTTTACAACTTTTGTAATAATTTAATATTGTTGCCAAATTAATTACAACAATCGTATATGTGTTTTCTCAATAAAATGTTTTCTTACACTTGTTCATAATAGTTAGTTTATATTTAAAATACGTGTGGTGAGTTGTGTTTTAAATAGCCAATAATCTGTGAACAGTAATTGGGAATGCCTAACCCCCCCCCTACCCCACCCCCCTCCCCTACCCCAAGCTAGAAAAAAAAAACCGATGAGGGCCATGAAACTAGTTCGCTCTTCGATTGTTAACCGACCCTATGCCAGATTCTATCTTGGCCTATTGTGAACAACTCGGCCGGTAAAGACTTAGCACTAGTAGGCTACTTTGTAGGTGTTTGCTCAAGGCTAGACTTCTGGTAAACTTGTGGTAGACTAACTAAAGATTTCCGTGGAAAGGAGTCTACTATTGACCCTAAAAGACTATTTTTCAAACCCTACATTATTGGGACAACAATTTGCTGAAAACGAGAAGTGTGCTACTATTAGTAAAGTAGGATTATCCATATCGTTTTACATATTCCGTGATATCTTGTAGATGTCATTTTGGAATTACATCTGCTATTTTATTCACTCAAATTAACACTCACAGTGACGGCTCATTCACAAATTCAAACTTTTTTCTCGAGCCAATCTTCATAAAACGACAGACCCCTTCGCCTCCACCCTAAAAAAAATAATCTTCTGTTTTTAATACATATTATATTTAAATAAGCAGAAATACAAGAATGGACTTAATAGAAACGTTGCGTAGTCAAGAAAAACGTATTTTTAATCTTGCAATGTATTTGAAAAATCAAAGAATAAGACTACAAGCATAAACGAAAATAGCTGGTCGAGTGATAGAGCGAACGATTGCTGCCCAGAAATCTCACGTTTGGTTCACGCACTGAGTCACTGTCCAGCTAGTTCTGGTAAAAGTAAAGGGCAGTGGGCAGTGCTGACCACAGCAAACGATAACATTTCGATAGCAGAGTAGACTAGATCTACTCAGAGTTTCTTTCAGGCATCTCTTCGGGGGGGGGGGGGGGGGGGGGAGGGGGGGGGGCTCCTGAAGTTTACCGCCCCTCCCCCTCGAACGAGATGGAATTTATATAGTAAACATATACTTTTACGAGTGTCCGCACCCCGGAAAATGTAGACCCCCCCCCCCGAAAATATCAAGTGCAACCCCCCCCCCCCCCTACACACACCCATCCCCCCCCCACCCCCCGAAGAAAAAAGTCTGGAAGAAACACTGGCTCTACTTCATCTTCATCATGGTTGGTCTGGTCCAGAGGCGTAGCGAGGGGGGGGGGGGTGCGGACCGCACCGGGTGACACCATTTAGGGGGGTGACACCAAGGCAAAAAATTGCAAAATATTTAGAGAAAAACTTGAGGGGGGGGGTCGATCCGCCTCTGGGGGTTGACACCATTAATTGCCGCACCGGGTGATACCCGACCTCGCTACGCCACTGGTCTGGTCTGAAAGGGTACACTACTCAAATGTCGTGTTTCTCTTTTAAGTGATTAAACATATTTACGTGCCTTAGAAAATATGTTTTAAACGATTGAGTTGTTCATATTCCTGAGTCGTTAGGTACAGCATACGTGGGGGACAAAGTTAGGGACACACTAAGGCTAAGAAAAGTACAATCTTAGAGCAGGGATCAATTCGTATTTAACACAGTAAACTGCTTGATTCCACCCAGCGCTGATGTGTAGGCCGTCCACCCAGCGCTGATGGGTAGGCCGTCCACCCAGCGCTGATGGGTAGGCCGTCCACCCAGCGCTGATGGGTAGGCCGTCCACCCAGCGCTGATGGATAGGCCGTCCACCCAGCCCTGATAATGTAGGCCGTCCACCCAGCGCTGATGGGTAGGCCGTCCACCCAGCCCTGATAAATTGGGCCGTCCACCCAGCCCTGATATGTAGGCCGTCCACCCAGCCCTGATAATGTGGGCCGTCCACCCAGCCCTGATAATGTGGGCCGTCCACCCAGCCCTGATATGTGGGCCGTCCACCCAGCCCTGATATGTGGGCCGTCCACCCAGCCCTATGTGGGCCGTCCACCCAGCCTTGATAATGTGGGCCGTCCACCCAGCCCTGATATGTAGGCCGTCCACCCAGCCCTGATAATGTGGGCCGTCCACCCAGCCCTGATAATGTGGGCCGTCCACCCAGCCCTGATATGTGGGCCGTCCACCCAGCCCTGATAATGTGGGCCGTCCACCCAGCCCTGATATGTGGGCCGTCCACCCAGCCCTATGTGGGCCGTCCACCCAGCCCTGATATGTGGGCCGTCCATCCAGCCCTGATATGTGGGCCGTCCATCCAGCCCTGATATGTGGGCCGTCCATCCAGCCCTGATATGTGGGCCGTCCATCCAGCCCTGATATGTGGGCCGTCCACCCAGCCCTATGTGGGCCGTCCACCCAGCCCTGATATGTGGGCCGTCCACCCAGCCCTATGTGGGCCGTCCACCCAGCCCTGATATGTGGGCCGTCCATCCAGCCCTGATATGTGGGCCGTCCATCCAGCCCTGATAATGTGGGCCGTCCACCCAGCCCTGATATGTGGGCCGTCCATCCAGCCCTGATATGTGGGCCGTCCATCCAGCCCTGATATGTGGGCCGTCCATCCAGCCCTGATATGTGGGCCGTCCACCCAGCCCTGATATGTGGGCCGTCCATCCAGCCCTGATATGTGGGCCGTCCATCCAGCCCTGATATGTGGGCCGTCCATCCAGCCCTGATAATGTGGGCCGTCCACCCAGCCCTGATATGTGGGCCGTCCACCCAGCCCTGATATGTGGGCCGTCCACCCAGCCCTATGTGGGCCGTCCACGCAGCCCTGATATGTGGGCCGTCCATCCAGCCCTGATATGTGGGCCGTCCATCCAGCCCTGATATGTGGGCCGTCCATCCAGCCCTGATATGTGGGCCGTCCACCCAGCCCTGATAATGTGGGCCGTCCACCCAGCCCTGATATGTGGGCCGTCCACCCAGCCCTGATATGTGGGCCGTCCATCCAGCCCTGATATGTGGGCCGTCCATCCAGCCCTGATATGTGGGCCGTCCATCCAGCCCTGATATGTGGGCCGTCCATCCAGCCCTGATATGTGGGCCGTCCATCCAGCCCTGATATGTGGGCCGTCCATCCAGCCCTGATATGTGGGCCGTCCATCCAGCCCTGATATGTGGGCCGTCCACCCAGCCCTGATATGTGGGCCGTCCATCCAGCCCTGATATGTGGGCCGTCCATCCAGCCCTGATATGTGGGCCGTCCATCCAGCCCTGATAATGTGGGCCGTCCACCCAGCCCTGATATGTGGGCCGTCCACCCAGCCCTGATATGTGGGCCGTCCACCCAGCCCTATGTGGGCCGTCCACCCAGCCCTGATATGTGGGCCGTCCATCCAGCCCTGATATGTGGGCCGTCCATCCAGCCCTGATATGTGGGCCGTCCATCCAGCCCTGATATGTGGGCCGTCCACCCAGGCCTGATATGTGGGCCGTCCATCCAGCCCTGATATGTGGGCCGTCCATCCAGCCCTGATATGTGGGCCGTCCATCCAGCCCTGATATGTGGGCCGTCCATCCAGCCCTGATATGTGGGCCGTCCATCCAGCCCTGATATGTGGGCCGTCCATCCAGCCCTGATATGTGGGCCGTCCATCCAGCCCTGATATGTGGGCCGTCCATCCAGCCCTGATATGTGGGCCGTCCATCCAGCCCTGATATGTGGGCCGTCCATCCAGCCCTGATATGTGGGCCGTCCATCCAGCCCTGATATGTGGGCCGTCCATCCAGCCCTGATATGTGGGCCGTCCATCCAGCCCTGATATGTGGGCCGTCCATCCAGCCCTGATATGTGGGCCGTCCACCCAGGCCTGATATGTGGGCCGTCCATCCAGCCCTGATATGTGGGCCGTCCATCCAGCCCTGATATGTGGGCCGTCCATCCAGCCCTGATATGTGGGCCGTCCATCCAGCCCTGATATGTGGGCCGTCCATCCAGCCCTGATATGTGGGCCGTCCACCCAGCCCTGATATGTGGGTCGTCCACCCAGCCCTATGTGGGCCGTCCACCCAGCCCTGATAATGTGGGCCGTCCATCCAGCCCTGATATGTGGGCCGTCCATCCAGCCCTGATATGTGGGCCGTCCACCCAGCCCTGATATGTGGGCCGTCCACCCAGCCCTATGTGGGCCGTCCACCCAGCCCTGATATGTGGGCCGTCCACCCAGGCCTGATATGTGGGCCGTCCATCCAGCCCTGATATGTGGGCCGTCCATCCAGCCCTGATATGTGGGCCGTCCATCCAGCCCTGATATGTGGGCCGTCCATCCAGCCCTGATATGTGGGCCGTCCATCCAGCCCTGATATGTGGGCCGTCCACCCAGCCCTGATATGTGGGCCGTCCATCCAGCCCTGATATGTGGGCCGTCCATCCAGCCCTGATATGTGGGCCGTCCATCCAGCCCTGATAATGTGGGCCGTCCACCCAGCCCTGATATGTGGGCCGTCCACCCAGCCCTGATATGTGGGTCGTCCACCCAGCCCTATGTGGGCCGTCCACCCAGCCCTGATAATGTGGGCCGTCCACCCAGCCCTGATATGTGGGTCGTCCACCCAGCCCTGATATGTGGGCCGTCCATCCAGCCCTGATATGTAGGCCGTCCATCCAGCCCTGATAATGTGGGCCGTCCACCCAGCCCTGATATGTGGGCCGTCCATCCAGCCCTGATATGTGGGCCGTCCATCCAGCCCTGATATGTGGGCCGTCCATCCAGCCCTGATATGTGGGCCGTCCATCCAGCCCTGATATGTGGGCCGTCCACCCAGCCCTGATATGTGGGCCGTCCATCCAGCCCTGATATGTGGGCCGTCCATCCAGCCCTGATATGTGGGCCGTCCATCCAGCCCTGATATGTGGGCCGTCCACCCAGCCCTGATATGTGGGCCGTCCATCCAGCCCTGATATGTGGGCCGTCCATCCAGCCCTGATATGTGGGCCGTCCATCCAGCCCTGATAATGTGGGCCGTCCACCCAGCCCTGATATGTGGGCCGT